AGAGGGAAAGGTCGCTTATCTGATGCTCAGTAGTCCATTCATGCTACATCCAGACTGAAAGGTCTCTCAGGTGAAGGTCAATTATCACTGTTGCACCCTTAACCATTAGCATAAAGTCTGGCACACAGAAGGAGCCCAAGAAATCATTTCCAGGTTCATCAGTGAGCCCACCAAATCTGAAACAGGAAAACAAAAATCATGCTTCCTCTTTTTACTGATAAGGAGGCAGCAACATTGAAAATACAGCATGAACTGTAAAATCATGTTTTTAGTCTATTAGCTCTTTGAACTTGATAGTTCCCTTTGCCTGCCTTTACAAATCATACACAATGAAAAAAATCAAGTAAAGAATGATTATGTCCCACTCCTCAGTTTATACCTAAAGGACTTAAAATCATCCTACTACAGTGATATAGCCACATCAATGTTTATAGCAGCTTATTTCACAATAACTAAACTATGCAACCAACCTAGATGCCCTTCAACAGATGAATGGATAAAGAAAATTTGAAATTAAAATAAAAATTTTAAAATACATTCTGTTGTCATATAACAAATTAAAATTAAAAAGAATGTAAGATACACACACACACACACACACACACACACACACACTGGAATATTATTCAGCCTTAAAGAAGAATACAGTTATGGTATTTGCAGGTAAATGGATGGAACCAGAGAACATCATGCTAAGTGAAATAAGTCAATCCCCAAAAACCAAAGGCCAAATGTTTTCTCTGATAAGTGGATACTGATCCATAGTGGGGTGGGGGTAGGGAAGAATGGAGGAACTTTGGATTGTGCACAGGGGAGTGAGGGGAGGGGTGGGGCAGTGGGAATGGGAAGGACAGTAGAATGAGACAGACATTATTACCTTATATACATCTATGATTACACAACTGATGTGACTCAGCACCATGTACAGCCAAAGGAATAAAAAGTCATGCTCCATTTGTGTACAATGTGTCAAAATGCATTCTACTGTCATGTATAACTAGAACAAATAAAAAATAATAATATATCAAATGGTGGTGGCACATGCCTGTAATCCTAGCAACTCAGGAGACTGAGGCAGGAGGATCACAAGTTCAAAGCCAGCCTCAGCAACTTACAAAGGCCCTAAGCAACTTAGTGAGACCCTGTCTCAAAATTATAAATTATTAGATAAATGGCTAGTAATGTGGCTCTGTGTTTAAGTTTCAGTTCTCGGTACCAAACAATTATGGTTATGACAGAAATAAAAAATGGTATACAATTTTCTTTACATTTGAGGTACTGTGTTAAGCCAGCATTTGATGTGGACTTTCTTAATTATTTTCATTTTATTAGACCTTAGCCTGTGGACAGAATATAAACAGTTTTCTTAAAGAAGCTGGTACTGAAGAAATACATATTGAAACACATTAAAAGGAGAGCTTGGTCTCCTGGAAGGATGCTGACATTGTGAATTACTCAAGGTTCAGGTCATTGGGCCAGTTAGGATGGAGGTTATTCAGAACTGGGCAGATGAGGAGGCCCAGTGTGAAGGGTATGGCAGTGTCCTCGGGGTCTTCATGGTGATGCCTACACTGACTTGCTGACTTGGGGAAGTTCCTTCTGCCCACAACTGGGCAGCAGACCCAGGATCTCTGTTGGAGATGAAGCTGCCTTGCCACCCGTGAGCTCAGCACCTGGGCTGCGAGTTTGCTGCTTAATTTTTCTGTGACACCACAGGATTCTGGAGCCAGCCTTCTTTAACAATCAAGAAGTGGTGCATTAGGGTGTTTGTTATCTTTGATTTTGAAATCAATTTATTTGATTGTAAGTATATAAATATTCATTAAGTACATAAGTAAATATATACTCACTTAACAACGTGTTTAATAATGGCTCACAAGATTCTTGAAAAATTTATTTGTCAAATATCGCCAGCCAGTTCCAACATGATGTTTCCTGTGCTGTCATCTAACGTGCCTCTGTCCCCACACTCCTGAAAACTAGTGGTTACATCTAAAGATTGCTTGCTCAGATTCAGATTTTCTTTATGTGCCTGAATACCTCAGAAGTGGTGCTGTGTATTTCCCATTGCTTAAAATGTGTGAGGAGAAAGTCATATTTTGAAAGTTTATGAAAGACTTCTTTTCTCTAAGCAGACTCCCCAGCCTGCTCCCACTGATCATCACGTGAATATAAGCACAGAGAAAGTGGAATAAACCACGAGGGAAAAGAGAAGAGATTGCAATTGCAACAGCAGACTCTGGGAAGGTGAAAGGAAGTGACGAAGACAACAGCACGGTGGACATGGAGGCTGGCTAGCAGGGACGGGTGTGCAAGCTGAGAGGGAAGCTGACAGCTGCCCTGCAGGTCCCCAGGGAGAGCTGATGGAGGTGGGGGTGGGGTGGGCGGAACTCTTAGGGATGGTGGCAGGTGTACCTTTTGTAGCCCTGTGCAGCAGCATCTCGCCTCTCCCCACCCAGGACCCAGGCAAAGACTGGACATACTCCCTGGGGAGGCTTGACCAAAGGGAGTCTGGCCTTGGGGTACCGGGCGTCCTTGAGGCCAGAAGCTCTAGGAAGACGTGGTGGGACAGGAGAGAGAAGTGAAAACGCACATCATCAATAGTGAGATTCCTGCAGTCTCCATCCCCTCTGGTCTCCCCATTGCTGAAATTCAGGCTAATCCCTTCCAGGCAGAATGTCATAACGTTCCTCCCTGGGAAAGCCAGCTGTCTGCAAGAAAATGACAAGAGTCTCCTACTGAGAAAGTGCGGTGTTTCACGCTGTGGGCAGCCCACCCCTTGACGCCCCTGACAGTGCGTCATTCATGTCTTAGGTTTATTTTATGTTAGAGAAAAAAACCAAAACAATCAGCCAAGGTCAGACTATGAAGAAATCTCACATTAAAGCTAGTCAACCAAAATGAAAATGGATAGAAAGGTACTCAAAGGTAGCAGGCACTGGCAGAAGAAACTTTAAAAGAAAATCAAAACACCTACACCTGTAGAAATCGCCTTAGAAAGATCCATGAAGCAGCAGAGGAGACTAAAACAAACAAACAAAATATGCAAAAATACTGTCAAACAGTATAAATAATAAAAAAATCAAGGGAGGAGTTGGAAAATGATAAATTTATATTCAAAAAAGTATAAGAAAAAAGACAAAGTAGGAGACAAAAATATGAGAAACTTCACAACTGAGAAGTCTAAGAAGTCATTAGTATATGAAAAATAGGGATTAAAGAGAACAAATTGGAGGAGAGGGAATTACTAAAGAAAAAAAAAAGAAAATTTCTTAGGATTTAAAGGCATGAGTTTGTAGACTAAATGGGTCCATTGACTCTCTGGCACAATGAAAGAAAACCACCTGCTCCTGAGTTCATCTCCAAGATTTCAGGCTCCTGAGAATAAAGTCCTAAAAACATAAAGAGAAAAAAAGTTGGGTAAACCTGAGTGGGAGCATGGCTTCCGGTTTATCAACAGCAACACAGAATGTAGAAAACAATGGAGCACTGTCTCCAAAATTCTTAAGAGAAATGATTCCCCATTTAAAATTCTATGTAACCAGATTCTCAGTTAAGCATGAGGGTAGGAAAATGATATTTTGCCCTATGTGAAAGTGTCAGAGAGTTTAGTTCTGAGTATCTTCTAAAGAACCTATTAAGAAATGTGCTCCATAAAACAAGGAGAAGAGAAAGACATGAGGTCTAGAAAACAGGGCACTAACACGAGAGAGGGAAGGGAAGGCCCAGGATGACCATTACACAAAAGTCCATAGCAGTCAGGTCAGGTTGGAACAGAACGCTGGACAGCTCTAGGAAGAATATTTCCAAGAAACCCAAAAAGGGAGAGAGAGAGAAAACGAGAGAGAGAGAGAGAGAGAGAGAGAGAGAGAGAGAGAGAGAGAGAAAGAGAGAGATATCACACACATGCCCTGAAATCTTGACTAAGGCTCATGAGCATATTGAGAGATGTGCATGTCTTGCAGAGAGCTGGACCATAATCTTAACTGTACATGGAATACCAAGCCAGGAAGGAGGAGGGAGAGACAGTTATCACCTCTGGGGTAAATTGAAGTTTTACAACAAAGGGAACGTACCCATAGAGTGGTATAAGCTCAGCCATGGATAACAGTCACAAGGTCATGATAATGTAAGTGCTGATGCATAATTGATTTAAAGTGGTAGCATTTCCCTACTGGCAGGATAAAGGGTAAAAGAGAATGCCTTGAAGGGTGGGGTTAATGCCAACATCTCCTTTTCCATACTAGGAAGTCAAAAAATAATATTCAAAACAGAAACCTAGAAACAGCATGTAAGCATGCTATTTAGACATGTGGAAGTAAATACCAGGAAAAAATATAGAAGGAATTGAAAATACTTAGCTTGGAAAGTGGACTTTGACTTGAGGAAGGGCTAGATAGGAGAATGTGGAGTTTGGTTCAGAAAAATAGATTCAGAGTCCATAGCCATCATTACCATAAGAGGTGTGGACTTGGCCCCCCACGTGGAGCCCTCTGAATCCTGGCTTTCTTGCGCCTGTCAGTAAGGAATCTGTGCCCTTTGTTTTTCCAGAGTTTACTCATCTGTAAAATAAGGATAATCATAAACCTAGCTAAGGAGATTTGAAAAGTAAATGTATTCATTTACTTGTGGAGTGCTTGACACATAGTAACATCTCAATAAACATGAGCTTTTGTGGCTATTAGTTCCTGAAAACAGGCAAAAACCATCACTGGCCCTTGGGAAAAAGGACGCCAAAGTTGTAACACAGTTTGGAGCCAGACAAGTCTTTCTTCTGATGACTGAAATCCTCTCTCCTGTTCTCCATTTTCGCTGCTTCTTTGGGGTTTCAATATCTGGCCCTGTGCAGGTGAGACCCAAGCTCAGCCTTGGTCCTGAAGAGGAAAGCGCAGAGCAAGCGAGGATGCGCGGTGTCCGTCGTTCTCCGTGTGAACTCGGAGGAGCCGCCTTCGCGGTAGGCGAGGAAGTGGGAGGAGCCCAGAAGGCACCCAGCTGCAGGAATTCCAGTCTCCTCGATGGCGGCGCGGGGGTGCGTACCGTCGTGGCTGCCGCTGCTCCAGCTGCTGCTGGCTGCGGGCGCGGGGGGCGCGCAGTGGAGCGGGAAGGGCACCAGCCAACGCCTGCAGAGCATCTTCCTGGGCCGCTGCGCCGAGTACTGCTCGCTGGTGAGCCCTGAGCTGCGGTGAGCACGGCAGGGGGAGTGGGAAAGAGGGTGAAGGGCGTCGAGTTGGCAAACAGCGTCTCCCAGGGGTCGTGGCTGGGGCATTAGCGGGCCTTGCCCAGATACATGTGAGGGAGAAGGGTAAGGGTTATAAAGGGCCGGGGCCAGTGTGGAGGGTGGGGGTCTGGAGGTGAGGGAGCAAGGGTGGGGGCTACTGTGAGGGGTGCACTGTTGTGGGGGTGTCCGCCCAGGGTGACGGCTGGGTAAAGGCCAGTTTGGAGTGTTAGGGACAGATGCGGACGGTGAACATGAGGTTAAGAGAACAATTCTATAAAATGGGCTCCCTGTGCTGACCCCTACATGCTCTTTTTTTCCAAGAAGCAATTTACCTGCAGTCCTGCCTGGCCTCAGTGCACAAGATATGTCACATTACTGAGCAAACTACCTTTTTCTTGCAGGAGAAATGGAGGCCCGAGGTAATGTTGATAGGAGGAACCCAAGTCACTCTGAAGGAGGAGACTTGTGACTAGATCTTGAAACTCTGGGAGCTAAGGATAGTTCCTCCTGACCTAAAATCTGTAAGAATGTGCGGTTGAGAACTGGTCAGCATGGGCCAAGGTGACCTAGAGTTGCCATGACAGTGAGGACTTCTCCCCTTGTCTTATGAGCCTGGGGCAAGGCTATATTCCTTAGTTTGCTTTATTTTTTGTAGCTCTGGTTCTGTTGTCAATATGTGACCAAATGGCCTATAAAATCTTGGGAGAAAGGCAAATCTTTTGCAGCACATCATGGTGTAGATATATATATATATATATATATTTTTTGACTTGTATTTTTGCACAGGGACAAGAACTGCACAGCCATCTGGGAAGCCTTTAAAGTGGTGCTGGACAAGGACCCTTGTTCTGTGCTCCCCTCGGACTATGACCTTTTCATTAATCTCTCCAGGCACTCCATTCCCAGAGACAAGGTAACCACCTCTGTCTCAGATAAATCCTCACTCTTTCTCTGTGGAGATAGACAATGGTCAGGTACGGGATCAGCTGGCCCCAGCATCCTGTGGTATTATGGAAAAATCAAGCAGCAAACTCTCAGCCCATGCGCTGAGCTCACTGGTGGCAAGGCAGCTTCATCCTAGTCACGAGCAGAAGGAACTTTCCGAAGTCAACAAGTCAGTGCTGACCTCAGGAAGTTGCCACACCCTTTACACTAGGCCTCCTCATCTGCCCAGCTCTGAATAACCTCCATCCTGACTGGCCCAGGGGCCTGAACCTTGAGTAATTCAGGAGACCCGTCTCTCCTAATATGTCTCAATATTGTATTTATTCAGTACCAGCTTCTTTAAGAAAACTACCTGTCTATATTTTGTCTGCAGGCTAAGGTCTAATAAAATGAAAATAAATGAGAAAGTCCACATAAAATGCCGCTTAGCACAGTACCTCAAATATGAAGAAAATTGTATACCATTTTTATTTCTCTGACATAAACATATATATATATATATATATATATATAAATATGAAATAAACACACACACATATATATATATGTATATATATACATATATATATATGTAAATGTTTGTTTGGTACTGGGGACTGAACCTGGGGTGCTTAACCACTGAGCATATCCCCAGCCCTTTTTTTTTTTCTTTTTAAATTCTGAAAGAGTATTGTTAAGCTTCTTAGGACCTCCTCAAGTTGCTGAGGCTGGCTTTGAACTTGTGATCTTCCTCCCTCAGCCTCCCAAGTCACTGGGATTATAGGTGGGCACCACACCTCTTGACATAATCATTCTTAACTTGATTTTTTCATTGTGTATGATTTGAAAAGGCAGGTAAAGGGAACTATCAAGTTCAAAGAGCTGATAGACTGAAAACATGATTTTACATTTTTGTTGTATTTTGAATGTTGCTGCCTCCTTATCAGTAAAAAGGGGAAGCATGATTTTTGTTTTCCTGTTTCAGATTTGGTGGGCTCACTGATGAACCTGGAATTGATTTCTTGGGCTCCTTCTGTGTGCCAGACTTTATGCTAATGGTTAAGGGTACAACAGAGATAATCAACCTTCACCTGGGAGTCCTTTCAGTCTGGATATAGCGTGATTGGACTACTGAGTGTCAGATGAGCCAACGAGTGGGGGATATTGTCATTTATATTGTGTTGCATGAAAACACTATCGATAGTAGGAACGGTAGGGTGTACTATAAGACTACTGTGTTTTGAGGCACTTCTTTAGACTATGAAGTACGTTCTGTGATGGCACACCATCCTGATCACAGCTGGGGAAGATGAGAAAGGACTCATGCTCCCCATCTTCCAGATGCAGAAACTGAGACAGGGAGTTTACACATGATGACACATCTAGTCAAGACCTTGGTCAAGATCACACATTTAGTGCATGACAGAAGCAGCATCCCATCCCGTCTCTTGGTCTTTTTTAATGCTTTTTACTACATGTACGTACATTTTGTACATGGGAAAATATTTCATTATCTTTTGCAGGATAACCTTGGAATAAAGGGAGTGGGAAGGATAGCACTCTTCAAATGCATAAAAAGAGACTCAAGGAAAAACGTAGTCATCTGCAGCAAGTTAGATTTGAATGAGAAATGTGTTTCCTGCTTGTCTCGATGACATTGTGCCTGAGTCATCTGTTTTGATTATTTTTGGTGTTTGTTTTTCTTCAGTCCCTGTTCTGGGAAAATAACCACCTCCTTGTTACTAGCTACTCAGAGAACACCCGTCGCTTTACGTCCCTGAGTGATGTTCTATATGGCCGGGTTGCAGATTTCTTGAGTTGGTGTCGACAGAAAAATGGGTCTGGTAAGACTGCTGTGCACATGACAAGAGAAGCAGGAGCTCCTGCTTACTGTGCATTTGCCATCCACATCGAATGCTTTCATATGCCTTCATCCCATTTATCTCACCAATCCTCTGAGGCAGGTGGTGACAATAATAATTAATAGTAATAATAATAGAAAACACTCTTTTTTTTTTACTAGGTATGAGTCTAAGCACTTTACACATATCAATTAATTTAATCTCTGCAGTAGTCCCATGAGATCCCTGTTTTGACATGAGAGTACTGAAGCACAGCATGATTGAGAAATATGCTTCAGGGCGGCAGGCTAACAAGCTGCTGTCACTCAGTCTGACTGACAGCTTGTGCGCCCAACCCAGCTCCATGCTGCCTTCTTATCTTCATTGCTAGAACACAAAACTGAAGCTTGGGCTGGTAAATGACTTGTGCACCTGGTGCAGAATGTGGGCTAAATGTGGGGCTGGCAAATATTTTAAACAGATTCTTCCCTGATATGATCTTTGAAATGAAATGTGTTTTTTTGCTTTTCTCTTAGGGCTGGATTACCAGTCCTGTCCTACATCAGAAGATTGTGAGAACAACCCTGTGGATTCCTTTTGGAAAAGGGCATCCATTCAGGTAAATCTGGGATGGATGACTCAGGACTTGAGCAAGTATGGGACCTGTGAACACAGAACAGAGGGGCTCAGAGACGGGGACCGCAGGTCATTACTAACTTTTATAAGCCTCAATTGCTACTTGACAGCATCCTGATTCATTCTGCTCCATAAAGTTGAGAGGGTTTTAGGAGATAAATATTTAATGCAGTGTCTGATCAGAGAAAGCATTAAGTAAATGTTAACTGTAAGTGAGGATATTACATAGCCATTATTATTTCTATTATATCACGGTTGCTATTAGTGTTTCAAATCAATTTCTCTTTTATTGTCATGTCAGATGGGGAGGATAACCCCTCTTTTATGGAAGATCTTGGTACAAGGACTAGATGGAGTGGTTAGAAATGTTCAACAACTAATATTAATGGGAGAGGAGATGATAAGAGTCTGCAGATAAATTAGAGATGAAGAAATAGGCCCCCAGCTAAGCTAGCTGTGTTGGTCAGAGAATATCGTCACCAGGGTTGATGATAGCTTTCAGTAGCTATAAAATGCCAATGATTATAGTTCATATTCTTTGTCACCAGGCTTAGAATAAAGGTTAGAAATAAAGAGGGTTAAGTCCTTAGCTCAGTGCCTGGCAAAGAGCTGCCAACTATCAAATGTAAGTTATATTGATCAGGAGGCAGGCAGAAATCAGGCTACTTCCACCCACCCACCCCCGCCTCCCTTTCAGGGGTATCATATCTCTTTGGGTCCCATCTTCTATTCTGGATCTCCAGATGTCCACTGGGTCCATTGCTATTCAGGGTGAAGGGCTTTTGGCCAAGTCCTCCACCACAGCGGCAGTCAGGAACTAAGCAAAGACTCCCTCCATCAAAGGACACTGTGGACCCTGTGCTCTCCAGCCTGCTCCAGTGAGAAAACACTGTTTCTTCCTCCTTCCCAGGGGTTCTATCTTGAGTGCTAACTCCAGTCAGCTGCCAGGGCCTGCCAGAGCCCCAAAGTTGAGGATTGGGAGGCTATAAATGTGTCTACACCTGAAAGTGGGGTCACCACAGTGATTCAGGGAAGATGTCAGCATTACACGTAAAGGAATCGTATTCTACCTGAGTGATCTGCCAGACTTCAGAGTGTGTGCTGCAGACCACCTTCTCACACTCCCCCAGTTCTGTCATGGGAAACCAGTAACAGTGCTCACCATTTTCGAGCCCTTAGAATATGCTGGGTAATTGAAACATGAAAAGATGTTGTCTAAAAAAGTGATGAGGAGAGGACTTGAACCTGAGGTAATAAATACTCAATAAATATTAAGTCATTGATATTATCACTCTTATTTTTGCAATGCTAAGGATTCAAACCTATAGCCTTGTGCATGCTAGTTAAACTCTCTATTATTGAGCTACATCCCCAGCCCAAACATTAAGTTATTATTTTAAAATTTTTCATCTTTACAACAATCTCATGAGGTAGATATTTTTACAGATGGGTAAAATGAGGTGCATAGAGTTGGAGAAACTTTGCTAGAGTGCCAGAGGTGATGTACAGGATCAGAAACCAGGCAGTCCAGCAGCAAAGACCAAAATTTCAACCACCATATTATATGGCCTCACTGTATCTGTATGTATTTTAAAATTAACTCTTTATTGTCAATATAATAGCTGCTTATGACAGAGAATGACAAATTACAGAAAATGTAAATGAGAAGTGTTCCTGCTCCTATTACCTAGAGGCAACCTCCACAACACAGTGGTCATCAGACCTTGACATTTGAGGACTTAATTTTGCCTGTTAGCACCACTTGAAAGCAACCCAAGACATGTGTGACATGGAGTGTCCTGTTGTCATGGCACAGCTGGTATGGGGGTCGTTTCCCTTAGAGCATAAACCCAGGCTTGTTTATCTCAGTGACACATAATTCTTCCTCACTTGTGTTTATTCTAGCACAAACATTTTTGGGAAATTACATGCTCCCAGGGTTTTCTGAACTGGAGATTAGGAGTTTTCTGTGGCCTGTTTCTCCCTTCGGAATTACCAGACTTCTGATTATTTATTTTAAATGTGGCGAAGCTCATGCCCTGTTTACCTAATCTTGCATTTTTCTTTGGATATAAACCCTTTCTCTGATATTGCAAATACATTGTAGACATTTACTAAGGGCTGGTTAGTATTTCAAATATGAGTATCACGGTTTACATACTATTCTTTTGTGGTTGGGTGTTTTAAATTGGCTCCTCATATTTTATGATTACAAACCATGCTGCACTGCACATCTTTGTGCAGTGCTTCTGGTGGTCCTTTGTGTTGTTTGCCAAATATTTCTGGCTTGTTTTCCGCACCTGTGGTTTGCACTCCCCTGCTTCTTGGGATTATTTTACCGTGATTTATATTGGCCAATGAGATGTGAATGACTGTGACCTGTATGATGTTGGGAGAAGCCTTTAGAATGGGTGGTGATGGTCACCTGTGATCCCAATGACAGGGGGTGTTTTGGGAGCTGAGACAGGAGGATCACAAGTTTGAGGCCATCCAGGGCAATTAAGAACCTGGCTCAAATAAATAAAATAAAATAAAAAGAGCTGGGATAGGGCTGGGATGTAGCTCAGTGGCAAAGCATCTGCCTTGCATTCGCAAAGCCCTGGGTTGGACCCTCAGTTCCAAAAAAGACAAAAAAAAAAAAAAAAGAACCCCACCCCCCAAGAAAATAAGATTAAAAAAAAAAGAGATGGGATATAGTTCAGTACTTTCCTAACATAGGGTAGGCTCTGGGTTCAATCCCTAGTATGCCCCCGACAGACACCAGGAAAAAAAAAAAAAAAGTGTGGTCTATGGTTTGCCACCTTCCTTTCTTCCCTCTGGCCAATCAGAGATTTTGCAGATATGGAGACTTCCTCAGCCAAGCTCCCAGAGAACACAATAAGCAAAACTCCTTGGGCCTGTGATAAACTTGTGGAATGAACATAAAATAAGTTTTCTTGTGGCTTTAGCCAGCGGGACTTTAATGCTGTCTGTTATGGCAACACAAGCCAGTGTATTCCAGCTGGTACTGATGCTGTGTATTTCATATAATTTTTGTGTATTTTGTATCATCTTCTTATAGTAGAGCTCCAGTTAGGGAATTACTGAATCTATGACTTTTTGACATTTGAAAGCAATTTGCTTCCCCAAATAAACCAGTGATGAGATTTGCCAATGTTAATGATTGTCAATTTTTTTTAAAAGAAAGTTTATTTCATAGCAAAAAAAAAAAAAAAATGACATGTCTTACTTTGCTCAAAATCATATTGTTGTTGTTTTTTTCTTGCAGTATTCGAGAGACAGTTCTGGGGTGATCTATGTCATGCTGAATGGTTCTGAGCCCACAGGAGCCTATCCTGTCAAAGGGTAAGAACTACAGCACCAACAAGTACAGCACAGAATGCCAAAATGTTAGCTGTTTGGAGGTAAAGAAAATGGTCCTAGTCTCCAGTCTAGTGCATGCTCCTGCAAATTCAGGTAAAGCAAACAGCTGAATGGCCTGGTGATAGAATCTTGTCTATATAGTTAAGCCATTAATAGCTGATGAATGCATGAATAAGTAACCTAAAAATAAAAGCTGAAAAATAAAGCTACTTAAATGTTAATGTATAGATCAACTAACAACTGAAATAGAAAAATATGTTATTGCCTTAGGACTTTAAGAAATGTCCTCCAGGGCTGGGAATGAAGCTCAATAGTAGAGCCATGGCCTAGCACAAGCAAGGCCCTGGGATTCATCCCAGCAGTGCAAAAGGAAAGGAGGAAGAAAGGAAGAAGGAGGGAGGGAGAGAAGGAGGAAGGAAAGAAATGTTTTCCCTGTCTCTCAGTTTTTTTGCAGATTTTGAAATTCCATACTTCCAGAAGGATAAGATCACACGAATCGAGATCTGGGTCATGCATGAGATTGGGGGAACCAATGTGTAAGTCATGGTGCTACTGAGGGTGGCAGCTGTGCAGACACGCTTGTCTCGGATGTGACATGATCAGGTCCATTTACTTTTTCAGTTTTGGAGAAATGCCAGTCTTCTTTATTTCTAGCATGGTCAATACAGAAAGACAGAGGCTTGACTCCTCGAAATGCTACTAGCCAGTCCTGAGTCCCCAGAGAAATCCTCCTTTATCCAGTAGACTTATGGTGTTCCTTCCTGAATGACTTGGGCAGCTTTGGATAGCCGAATTCCTTATGCATTTGTGAGGGTCAAAGCCAATTTCTCCTTCTGGTCATTTAAGCCCCAAAGCCCTTACTGGTTTTCAGCACCAAACCAGGGACTCTGAAGACTTTTTTCTCAGGGAGAAAACAACTCCACAATTGAATCCCAAATAACTGGGAAGGGAAGTTTTATGGTGCATATTGTTTTGGGAATCTACTTGAGTTTATATACAGATGCAAGCTTGAACTCGTATTTCTCACCAATGAAGGGCACTCCTGGCACAAAATAATATAAAAACAGTTAAACCCATTAGGTTTAGACACTTGCCTGTGAAGCTACAGCCCATTTAAAGCTAAGCAGCCATGATGGAGCTTCAGAAGCAAGCTGGGGCCTGGTTCTTCAGAGCTTTGATGGTACCTGGAGGAGAGTGTTGCCAGACTCAGGAGTAGGTGTGCCACTGGATGTGTGTTCCAAGAGAATCTCAGTAAATACCTGTTTTCATCCCATCTAAGACTCACCATAAATTGGGTGTTATTTTTCCCTATCTCTTGGGCAACAGATTGCAATAAATTTGAGACTACTTATGACATAAATTATGCCATATGTCTCTTAGGAAGTATATTACAATAAATTTGCTAACTACATATTACTTAAGTTTTACCAAGATCTGCATTTCCCTCCCAAAAGACAAATTCCACTCATTGTTTCCTGAAAAACATTATTATTTTCCTTGTTTTCATAAGAAGTTGCTTCTTGTCTAGAAATTATGCTTGCTTGTGGTTTCAGTGTCTCCGTTAAGAGGAAGCTTGTCCTTTGAATTTACCTTTAGAGAGATTAGGAAACTGCAGTTCAGTGTCATGTCAGCTCATCATTTCTATTTCAGGAGATGTTCCAGAAAGGTCAGGATATATGGTTGGACATCTGAGTCACCAGGTAGAGTTGTAGGTCACGAGCTAAGAAAGGGAGTCTTGAACTGTTCAGAATTTAAGGAAAACACATGAAGATTATAGTTAATAAAATTGTATTGTATTAGGGATTTTTGTTAAATAAATAGATTTTAACTATTTTTTGTCACAAAAAAGTAGCTATTTGAAATGTTAGATATACTAATCTGTTTCAGTATGGTGATAATTCCTCTCTCTCTCTCTCTCTCTCTCTCTCTCTCTATATATATATATATATATATATATATATATATATATATATATAATCAAAATGTCACATTGTAATCCTCAAATATACACAATAAAATTTATTTTAAAACAAACAAGCAAAAACCCATATAGGCAAAGACCTACAAATGACATGATTAATACCTGATTGCATTTGGCATGGCTTTGGCAGTCTTTATTCAAAGGAACTGTAGAGTGACCCTTGACTCTTCTTTGAGTCCAGGCACCCTGAAGTCTCCATGTCACTGCTTACTGAAAAATCCTGATAGCAAGTCTCGCCCAGAGAAGGGCATTGTCCTGACTTTGGCAAAGTTCTGGAGGCCCTTTGCCCTCTTCATTCCATAGTGGCTGGAATTCCATACTGTGGCAACTTGTGCAGGAAGTTGCAACAGGAGGTTGCTCATTTCCTCCCTGCACTCTGCCTCTCTACTGATGTCATGGTGGGAGGCTGTTTAACCTCCCGTTCCTCACAACCTAGGCAGGGCTCTGCCTGCAATATGAACACCAGGCTTAAAAACCACCTGGCAGGGTCGTGTCTGCCACTGAGGCCTTTATAAACCACCCCTGCTTCATTGAGACCATCAGGAGGGAAGAATCCCCACTGGTGAGGGAGTGGAAAAGCACTCCTGCTGCACTCTGCTGGGTGTGACCTGCCAGTGCCTGTGGGGAGCTGTAAAACAGATGCAAACCCTTGCTGCCGGAAAACCTAATTTTACACATTTACACTGAGGAAACAAATGAGGAAGAATGTATATGAAAAGGAAGTTTCAACAAGGTTTATTATAGCATAAAAGGCATAAAAGGAATCAGCGTAGGTCTTCCAAAGAGGGAACTCAGTATATGAGTTACAGTCTGTAAGGGAGACCATGCAAGGGTGAAACACATCGGTACATGTCTGTATAAGGGACACACACACACACACACACACACACAGACATGAGCTGAAGCAGAACACAAAACATCATGGACAGCAGAGTGTCCTTGCTATGTTTGAAAAACCTTGTGGAAATAAATGTATCTTAGAAGTCCATAACTATGATCCAAGACCCCAATTGGAGGCTTGAAACTGCATATTGTACCAAATCCTATATGTACTGTTTTTTTCTATACAAGCGTACCTATGATAAGGTATGATTTTAAAATTTGTCACAATAAGAGATTAACAACAGTAACTAATAATAGAATGACAAAAATACACTATAATAAAATGATATAAATGTGTCTCACTGTGCTTTACTCATGTCTACAAGATGAGATAAAAGGGAGTGAATGACAAGGCATTCGCCACTCTGTGTGGCTGTAACTTTTGCAGTGTGAGGTGTGACAGCAAAACTAGCATCTATTTCTTTTCCCTTCTTCACAATTTCATGGGTGGAAAGGAGGGTCACTCCTACATAGTTCTGAGCACTATCCACGTAGGATTTTTTTTCTTTGCTTATTACATTGAGAACTTTCACCTTTTCCCTTGAAGGAAGCACTTCCCAGCTTCTCTCTGGTGTATTCAAAGACCCAGTGCTGGGTCTTCCCAGCATCTTCTGCCGGGTGCTTTCCCATATTCCCTCTGAGAGAAAAATATCTGAGAGCACACAGTCAAAAGAAATTTTATTTACGTTAGGAACCACTTCTTCTTCCTCCTCCTATATTTATTTGTTTTAAAATACATGTTCTTATGTTTTAGGGAATCCTGTGGAGAGGGCAGTGTGAAAATCCTGGAGGAGAGACTGCAGGCCATGGGCTTCCGGTCCAGCTGCGTTGACGACTACCTGTAGGTGGTCCTGTGTGTGAGCCGTGCACTCTCAAAGGGGGGGTGGGCTGTGGAAAGGGTTCCAGGCATCACCTCTAAAGGCCACCGGATTGTCTTCTGGGTTGCTTCTGGATGCAGGGGTGGGGAGCACCTTCTGGCCAGGGTTTTGTCTGAGTCCTTCCCGCTTCTCAGAGTCCATTTGGATGATGGTTAAAGAATATTCAGAGAAGAACTTTATCCTTTGCCCATATCTGGTTTCCTTCTCACCTTGTTTACTGTGTGGTGAGGAACTGAAAAAGGATCGTGTATTTGGGTCCCTGGGGGTTCTTGTCCACAATTGGTGCTAAGGCCCGAGTTGGTTAGAGATGTTTACAGACAGGTACTTCACCAGAGACCAGTGGAGAAAAATAGCAGCTTCTATTTGTTGAGTAATTATGGACCAGACTCTTTATGTCATACTCAGGTGTCCCTTCCCGCTTCTTGGACATTGAGAGAAGCTCAGCTGAAGCCCTGGGGTGGTTGTAAGCCCCGCTCTCCTGGACTCAGATCCCCATCTCCATTGCTGTCTGCCTCAGCCTCTAAGGGAGCAGACACGCTGGCTCTTTGGGTCTGGAGTCCAACATTGTTAGGACTTGGTGGCTTTCTTGAACATTTATTAGTGTTTCCGTGTGGAAACTGTCATTGACTAGGGCTCCGAGGGGGTCCCCCAGAAGAGAGACCAGGACCTCAGCTTGACCCTGGCAAGTTCTTTTTTTTTTTTTTGTGGTACCCGGAATTGAACCCAAGGGCACTTAACCACTGAACCAATCCTCAGCCCTTTTTATTCTGAGTCAGGGTACTGTTAAGTTGCTTAGGGACATGCTAAGTTGCTGAGGCTGTCTTTGAACTTGTGATCCTCCTACATCAGCCTCCTGAGTTGCTGTGGTTACAGTCATGTGCCACCACACCTGGTCCTGGCAGGTTCTTGATGTACAGGGCAGAAAGAATTTCAGGATGCATCAGAAAGAGGCACAAACAGAGATTTACTCAGGAAATCAAGGAGTGCACACTTAAAGGGACAGGGTGAGGGCTAACTTGAGAGTGAGTTGTGCTTTTGGGATCTCAGGCTCTTCTTCTAAAGGATATTTTGTAAATGGCAAATGTGAGAAACGTGCGGGGGTGACATTAGCTTGATGGACTGAATTCTTTGCATCACAGAGCACAGGGCAGGCCATGGTGGTCTGGTTCTTTTTAGGATCTCTAGGTTAACATTATTTAGCTCATAGATAATGCATGAAATGTACCCATATCATGAGTTTAATAATAAGTTTACTAATAATATCTCTAAGCTTCATTTAATTAGTCTAAAAAAGTGCATTGTAGAAACTGTCAAGGTACGAAAGTACTAAGTAAGTGGGTTCACAATGCTCTAGTATTTATGGGCCTTTCAAAAATTCAGGAGAAATTTGCCTGCAGAGCACAAGTGAGGATGTTTGAAGCCTTTGAGTTTAAAGTTATAGTTTCTTTTCCCTTCCTTGTTAGTCTCCTTTCTAGTTTTCCTTATTTCTTCCATCCTGCCTCAAAATGACATCAGAAGTCTTCTTGTCTACTACCCACGATCATCCTGCCACCTCTGCCTTTCCCAAAGCTCCACAGGCTGCATATTGCTTCCCGCAGAGCAAAGCTCCTGGAAGTGAGGGCCACTGGTTCCCCTTAAAGCTGTTCTGTTACCTGTATCATTTCATCTATATTAGCATTAGTATTGCTAATGTTTCCAGGAAACTCCAAGGTTGGGCGCCATTTTATCACCCCCTTTTAAAAAACAAAATAAAGCAAATACCCTTTTCTGGAAATATAACCTGCATACAGGAAAAAGCACAAACATGGTATACAGTTGGATAAATGTTCACAAGTTCATCATACAACCAGCACTGTGAACAAGAAGTAGGACCTAACCAGCATCCATCCAAAGTTCGCCCCCGCCTCCATTTTGGCTACTACCCTCTGCTTCCGTAGATCTGTTTCCCACATTTGTAATGCCACCCGTTAGTTTTGTCTATCTTTAAACTTTTGTAAATATTCTCTTTTGATAGATGAAATAAGTGGCCCAATGTCAACACTTAGGGACAGAACTGTGTATGGCCTGGAAGTGGATTCTTTCCCTCCTGCTACCATGCTCTTCTTTCTGAATCAAAGCCCTAGATTTTAATCCAAATGCGTTGACATGCTCTTGTGGTCCCAGCACATGGGAGGCTGAGTCAGGATGGTTGCTTGAGCCCATTAGTTGGAGACCAGCTGGACCATACAGTGAGACCCTGTCTCAAAACAAAGCAACAACAACAACAACAAATAAATAATTGCATAGAGTAGACTTTAATGAAAAGTAGGTAAATCCAAGGAAGGATTGCTTAGCTTAGCATGCCCTTGAGTGACAACATAGCTTTCCTGTTCTTCTGAATCCTCTTCAGTCATCCTGCCCCTGAGATCCCATCTTGGCTTCCCTCTGATCTGATGCCCTGTGCACTGGCACCTGCTCCTGTCTCCAGGGCTGCTTTCTGTTTCCTCCTGCTCTGGAACTTCACATCTTCTCCCTCCACTGTGTACAGCAAATGAGCTTTCTCCATGGAAAGCCAAACACCAGTTCTTACCCATTATTTGAAGTCAATCTTCTTCCCAAAGCAGAGTTTTTTTTTCCAAACACTAAGTACTGGGCTCTAAGTATGTGCATGTAGACAGGGTTACAAGCTCAGGCTCTGGAGTCAGCCAGCAAGGTTCAAGTTCAGCTCTCTGATTCACTACTGTGAGAACTTGGGCAAATCATTGTCATCAGCTTTCTCTAGTGTAAATTGGAGATGAAAATTGTCCCAACTCCATTTGCTTGTTAGAGGATTAAGTGACACTATCTATATAAAACACACAATCAATTTTCTTGATACATTGTAAGTGCTCAGTAAATGCTAGCTAATGTTTCAAAAAGGAATAGTTTGTATTTTTTTGAGGGCAAAGACTTTGTTATCTCCAGGTCTTCTCAGGCATATCATAAATGTTTGAAGGATGGAAGTTATATAGATAATTCCTTAAATCTTATTTTCTTTCTGTAGACCAGTGAAGCTCTTAAAGTGCGTGGACCACAGTACTCACTCTGATTGTGCCTTAAATTCGTGAGTAAAAGACTAAACTCAAATTGCCTTTCTTTCTCAGATAACCTCTCCTTAGTATTATAGAACATGGGTGAATTGCAGCATGGTCTTAACCCACCCTAATCTGTGTGGCTGCAAGGTGAGGTCTATTCTTCTGCACCACATCTCACCTCCTCTGTCTCTCTGGGCTTCCAGGCGGGTGCAGGTTTGATAGACATTTGCCAACCTGAGCCAAACTCCTCCCAGGAACTTCAAGCAGAGGTGGCTCTATGTCATCCTCTGCTGTGGCAGCACTTGCTTCTGCAGAAATTCTATTAGTGAGGAGGCAGGGGAACCTTTTAACATTTATTTCTTAATCTTAATTTAACATTTTATTAAATTGAGACAAAATTCAAAATTATGAAAGGGTTGAGAAAGTCTCTTGGTTGCCCTATCCCAAGGTGCAGAAGAATAAACCTCCCTGCTTCTAGAGTCTTGTGTGTCCTTTTAGAGTATCATGTGCTCATAACAACACACACACACACACACACACAGTTCTTTTATACCAGTCATAATAAATTATAATATTCATAAGATTCTGGACCTTTTTTTCACTTGACAGTATATCCAGGAGCTGTTTCTACATTTTTATTTATTTTTTTTTTTGGTACTGCGGATTGAACTCAGGGGCATTCAACCACTGAGCCACATCCCCAGCCCTATTTCATATTTTAGAGACAGGGTCTCACTGAGTTGCTTAGCGCCTCCTAGTTACTGAGGCTGGTTTTGAACTTGCAATTCTCCTTTCTTTGCCTCCCAAACTGTTGAGGTTATAAGCGTGCGCCACTGCGCCAGGCATGTTTCCACATGTTTTTCAAAAGAAATTTTATTTTATATATTTGAAACTTGCCACATGATGTTATGGGAAATATATAGATAGAAAAATGGAGACTACAGTGAAGCTGATTAATGTGCCTGTCATCTCACATGGTTACTTTTTTGTGACAAGAGTAACTGAAATCTGCCTCACAAAAATCTCTGATATGAAGCAGTTTTAATACTCACGAATGTCCTTTCCCGACACCTGCCGTGGCACCGGCTGTTTCATTCTTTCTTTCTTCATGTTGGCTCACTGCAGTCTTTTTTTGTTCCATTCAGTAACAAATATTTAATGCCTCCTGTGTGTCATGGTGCAAAGCAGTGTTGTCCCTAGAGACACTAAAGTACACTTAGGGAGAAGATGATGAACAGCACATAAATAAATTAAGTCAGTCTAAGTGCTAGTGCTGCTCAGGATATGAACGTGCTCAGAAATGGAGGCACTAGTTCCACAGTGAGGATCAGGGAAGAACCTTTCAGAGAGAAGGAAGAGCAGAAACCAACACCCTCAGGCTAAGGACCAGGCCACACAAGAGAGAACCCAGGGGATGGAGTCTTGTGAATGACACGCCCAGGCCCTGGGTTCAAGCAGCTCCTATCTGAGGAAGCTGTGGGGGACAGTAGGTTTCCAGCATTGTTTATACTAGTCCAAATATGGAAACAACCTGAATGTCCACTGATAGATAAAGAAAATATTCATGTATAATATATATGTTTTTCCATTGTGTACATGTATATAAATGTATGTGTGTATATTTACATTTTATAAATTCAATGGAACATTATCCAGCCTTGAAAAAAGGAGATTGTGGGGTTGAGGATGTAGTTCAGGTGGCAAAGGATTCTCTCTCATGATGAGGTCCTGGGTTCAATCCCCAGTGCCACATGTGCACACCCACACATGGAGATGTCACCATTTGCCATAGCACAGAGGAACATTATGCCAAGTGAAATAAGCCAAATGCAGAAAGAAAACTATTGCATGATCTCATCTATATGTGCAGTATAATTTGAAAAGAAGGAATGGAGATGGAGCTGAGTTGAACTCAGCACACACGAGCCCTGGGTTCAATCCCAGGTACCTCAAAACAAAGCAAAACAAAAAACCCTCAAATACCCAGAGGAGATTTCCACATTTTTGATGAAGCTGCCTCAATCTTTTCACAGTTCCTCATTAATGTTACCATGTACAAGTGTGATTTTTTTAACCTCGTTGCCCATGGGTGGACAGTTAGATTGTTTTCAGTTGTTACCCCTCGTCAACTGTGAATAAGAGGAAGTGCTCTTGGCCCATCTCATCCCACAAGTGCTCAAGGCACAGGCCTGTGCTCACGTTAGCAGACGCAGATGTAAGCTTACTCATTGGCTTCTTTCTGATTTGAACTTATTTTTATTCATTTGACTTTGTTTTTTGTACAAAAAGCAGTCATGCCGTACGCGTTGTCCTGCTGGAGATTTCGTCACTTAACAGTGCCAGGGCCTCCTCCTTTCAGTGGGTTCAGACCGATTTTTCAGTGGCTGCAGAATATTCTGCAGGATGGCCCTGCTTCCAGTCATTTAATCCTTCCCCAGCCATAGGCTGGCTTAGTTGTAGGTCACTGTCACAGTTGTTGTGTTATTATAAATAGTGCTGAGAAATCATCCTTGTTCATAGGCTGGTGTGGAAGTATTTGTGGAGGGCAATGATATGGTTTGGATAGGAGGTGTCCCCCAAAAGCTTATGTGTGACATGAAACAATGCTAGAGTGTTCAGAGGTGACGTGATTAGATTGTGAGAACTCTACCCTAATCAGTCCATCCTAGTTTGAATGGACTGACTGGGGGGTAGCTGACTGCAGGCAGGTGGATGTGGGTGGCTGGAGGAGTTGGGTCACTGGGGCCTGCCCTGGAAGCAGACATCTGCCCTGTAGCCCCTTCCTCCCTCCTGTTCTCTGCTTCCTGACCCCACTATGAGCTGGCCCAAGCTGCTTTGGGCCTTTCCTCCTTGAAGTGCTGCCTCACCCTGGGCCCAGAGCAGAGGAGCTGGCCGTCTGTGGACTGAGACCTCTGAAACGGTGAATGCCAAATAAGCTTTTCCTCCTTTAAGTTGTTCTTGCCATGTGCTTAGGTCACAGTGACAAGAACGCTGACAAAAACAGACAGATTATACCAGTGTTGGAGCTGGTGGCTCAATGGATGTGTGTGCAGCATTTTACATTTTGACCTTTGGGGCCAAGTTTTGCTGTTCCAGAGAGGCTGCACACTTTGACTGATAGTATGTGGTGTGGCGTTCTGTCCCACTCTATCACCAGCCCTGGCTGTTGTCTCTGTCTGCATCCAAATCCGTACCTATAGCTATGTGTAATTCTAGGCAGTGTGGTGGGTAAAATATGGGGCTTTATTGTTGTTGCTTGGTTCTGGTACCCAAAGTCTCTTCCCCTCCCTTCCTGTCTGGTAACATCACTCCTGTCCTTGAGGACCCAACTCCAAATGCTCCCTCCCCTGCAAGGCTTTCCTGATTCTCCCCAGGGCTCTGCAACAGTGCGATTATAGTGCTTCCCTCTTCCCAGCTGTGTCACTCTGCCCGCAACAGCACCGAACATAGAGCAGAAAGAGGCTGGAGAAACTATCAATCCTGCAGTTACCGAGAAAGAAGCAAACATCTGTCTTCTTCAAGTGACTCCAATTGGGGTCATTTGACAAAACCCAAACCATCCATTTTCTCTTTGTGTGTCTTAAAAGCCGCACATAGCAAGTGCTCCATAAAAACCTGGAGGACTCATTTTCCACCTGCAAGGGGAAGAGCTGTCGTCGGGGCTGGACAACAGCTGTGGGCCAGGCATTGATCCGTGTGCACCACGTGGAATATCTTGCTCATACATGTAACCAGTCCATTAGGGAGAAGGAAAGAGAGTGTACATTCATCATCCCCACATCTTTCTTCTTCCCTCCTTTGTTTAGTAACAAAATCCTTGAGTCTTGGCTGGTCTCATGGCCACCAAGGCTAATGAGTGTACATCCAGCCTCCTTCCAGCTGTGGCTGAGAGTAATGTGCAACCTCTGCCCAAGTCTCTTGAAGTCTCTTAGTCTCTCTCTCACATTCCCTTCCCCTCTCCCACTGGCTGGCATGTGGTCCCAGGAGATCTGGGTGTGAGCCATCTTCAACTGGGGAGGGCAGAACCTACAACAGGAGAACGGGGTGTCTCTGTACCATGGAGTCCTGTATCAGCCCTGCTCAGATGCCGACAGAAAAATAAGCTGTGCTGTTGGGTGTTTTGACAAGTGCCAAGCCTGTATCTGAACCGATGTGCTCATTAACTTCTAGCTCAGAGAAGTTGATGGAAGGCTCACTCAAGTCCACCCAGCTAGAAGGGGCACAGCCGGAGTCTGAAGGAGCCTGTGAGGGTATGAGAATTCACCTTGGCAGATGTTGTGCTCTTTGGACTGGAAGCTGGGACAGCAGGCCCATCCCCTCTGGCGGGTGTGCTAGCGGCTGACCTCTCAGGGTTCCGAGAGGGACTTCAGTTCTCTCCTCCTGGGAATTTAGCATACGGGATTTTGAGTTATAAGTCGTGGGAGGGAAGACTAGTTTATACACGTGGGCCTTCCCTGTTCTCACCTGGCTTTCCAGATTCTTCCTATGTTTTCTCAAACACATCACTCACTGTCTCTCACGGGGAATTTCCATTTCAAGCTAGTTTTGAGCCACTTCCCTAACGACCTCATGAACTGTCCTGCCCACAAAGCCGTGAAGAAATCACCCTCCTGGCAATGTAAGAGCTCTGCAGCTGGAGTCAGAGACCCGAACTTGGCCCTTTTCTTATCTTTGAAGTGTCCAGGAACTTCTCATAACCTTAAATACTGAGGTTAGCCTCAGTATTTACGTTGATCTCAGTATTTAAGTTGATAGCCTCTACTGTACTTCTCTGGTTCCTCAAGATCCCACATAGAATCTATGTTTCTCATATTTTTTTTATCGTCTTTCAACTGACTGATTTATGGAGCCGTATTTCCTGTCTCCCACTATTATTAGCTTGGAGAGGGTGGGAACTTGAACCTGTTTTGTTCACTGACGGATGTATCTGGAGAACGAAGAACAGAGCTTGCAACCTGGCAGACACTAGGAATGAGTGAGTGACTAACTGAATAAATGAACGTCTGTGTCTGGTAGAGGCCCGGATTGGAGGTGAACAATATTCAAGGGTGCTGAGCCATCCAAAGAGATGACAAGTGTCCAAGGGCCTCAGAGAGTGTCTGTGGCAGCAGATACAGATTTTGTGTGCAAGAAAAAGAAACCATCTCTGCCTAGTTCAGTGGGAAACAGGGGAATAAGGTTATTTCAAGGATTTAAGGGGATGGACTTTCTAAAGGCCCTGGCACCTCGGGAAGGGTCGCATTGTTTCTTAGGGCTGTACAGTTTTGCTCCAGTCTCTGTAACCCCGTGTGCCTGTACAGATACAGGTCATGTGAAAATCCTTGAAATACCTGTTGCACCTCTATCATTGTTCCTGGAACAGGCAAAGGACACCACCTGTGGGGCCCCTGCTGCAGGGAGCTCAGTGAAGGAGGAAGCTCTTCTGGCCTTTCCTGGGGAATTCCTAAGCACTTGGGAATAGGCAGGCTTCCCCGGAGTTCCCCTTTCATGCCAACGAGACTCCTGGAAGGTGGGCAGCGTGAGCCCCATCCGTGATGCTAAGGTTCAGGGAGATGAAGGGATCACAGTCACTCAGGACCAGCTAGACCCAAGTGACACCAGGGTCGCTGTGCTCGAAGTCCCCTTCTCTCTACCACACCACACTGCTGCAAGCCTCTGGGTGCACACACGGCAGGCAGGGGAGGGGACAGGAGTTCTTGACCTGTTCTTTCGCCTCTGTTTGGGCATTTCTTTCAGTGTTTGTTGGCAGATCTCTTTCTAACAGTTCTGCCCATTTTCTTCAAACGTGAAGAATGAAACCGTCTTTCGCTCTTTGCCAAGTTTTCTCCACTTTGGTTGCCTTAGCAGGAATCTTGCAAATTTCTTTTTTTGAACATTTTAGCAATTGTAGATAGTTTATGCAACAGGAATCACAAGTAGCAAATGGACAAGATTATTTAATCACTCTAATAATAGTGTAATAAAAAATAACAAGGTATAATTTCTACCTCAACTTCTTTGACATATCTTAAGAAAAAATGGCAAAAAACTTTTTAAAAAACATGTTATTTAATGCCTGAGAGCACCACCAATTACTGGAGTGCTCTGGGAAAACAAATTGACAATATGTGACCAGAATTCCGGAAATCCTCATGATCTCTGACCTATGTCAGACTTTTGGGTTGTTTTAGGTACCTTCTTCTAAAGAAAGGAGTGGATGAATCAAGATGCAAGTAAAAATGTGGTAAGTTTAGGAACAATTTGTCTTTGCTACTTATTTGCAAAACTTTAGAGAATTTGACACAAAAGAATAGCTGTTGGATTAGCCATGTGATCTTGATATATGTGACTACTAAGTCATTGATTTTAGACTTGAAATTTGTAGTAAAAAGTTATGAGACAGTTTTAATAATTTTTTTTTAACCATTATTGGAATATTTAGAAGAAGTAAGATTAACTTTTATACATTTATTAGGCTTACTAGAATCAAATATTTGAGAAGACTTTGCTTTTACAAAACATTTAAAATACTTAAAAAGAAAATGTGATATTTAAAAACTTAACTGTAAAATATTTTAATATAAAATAACTTGAGTTAAAAATATCCAAGGTAATTAACAAAATGTGAAGTGCCCTTAAAACCTGTCAGAGCTCAGTAGGTTTTTAAATAGAATGACACTATTCGAAAATTAAATAGAAGAGTATATGAGAAAACCAGCCTTTGAGATTTATAAATTTCATAGCAAGAATTAAGTTTCAAAACCAAAGTAACTGCAAATAGCTCTCCCCCCATGTACAGCCTCACATCAACAAGAATAGCTTGTTAAACTAAAATTTGACAAACTCATGCACAGAACATGAACACAGATATATAAAGCAAAGGAAAACAAAACTATTTTTTCTACTTGTGGATAATAATCATAGAAGAGGTCTGAAAAGGCGAATCCATGCTGCTATTGGTAGTTAACTTTCTAACTCTGGTCACCTTTGGGAAGAGAGTGGGAATTGGAAAAAATTGACAGGAGCCTCTCATTATTACTGTGTTTAGTAATACTGTTCTAGTAAGTACTGTATTAGTATTTTATTTTCTGTAAAATAAAAATAAATGTATCCTCCTACTGATTATTAATTATTTGAAAGCAAAGATTACCAAGTACGGACATGACCTGAATCGGAAGTTCAGAAGTGCAATTACAGAAACTGTCCAGCAGGAGGAGCCCTTTACAACGTTGTGGGTGATATTTCCTCAGTAAAAAGAGGGTCAGGAATTTCCGCCCCCCTACAAGACTGGGTCTCTCTGAGTTAGGAATTTTAGAGGATCCAGCCACTAGTCCAGAGTCATAAAACACATTTAAGAATGAACATTATGTGTTTCATAATTTAAGCAATTACCTTTTGACTGGTTTCAAATAATTCAGGAATTTGTTTTAAAATAACCTAGAGGTCAGACTCTTATTTGTTATGAACAGGGTCTATATTTTGACCGGTCCCTCTCAATGCCTATATGTCAGGATGGGTTTTTCTTCATCGGTTAAACTCTGGTGATGTAATGTCTATTAGTAAAGAACTTTGCAAATAGTGGGGTACATCCACACCACGTGAATTCACACACAAAGGAAAATGAATTGAGTTCATGTGCACAGTATGGAAGGGTGTCCACCCTATGGCATTAGGGTGTGTGTGTGTGTGTGTGTGTTTCATATTCCTGGAAGGACAACCCAAATTATCAAGGGCAATTTTCTCTGTAAAGTGGGAATAAAACGACTAAAGAAACTTTTACTTTCCATTTCATAACTTTCTGTACTGTCTAAAATTTTCTACAGAATTCGTGAGTATTTTTGAAAGCAGATGTCAAAACACAAAGACTGACTATTTCTTTTTCAATTTTCAGGGCAGCAGCATCTACTCAAAGAGAAGTCTCATCTCTTGATACAGAGCAAAGTGCCAGCTTTATCATTCCTCTCTTGGTGGCTTTAGCCTCAGGTTCTCAAATGTAACTGGAGACCCGACTGTGCTGTCCTAAGAGCCCCAGGCCCCGCACCTGCCCTTTTGTAGTTTCTGTCCCTGTTCTGCCTATGCTGAGCAATACCATCATCTGGACACTTCATTCTAGGAAAGTCTACCAGCCTGAGATGGCATTTCAAGGACACTTATGCTCAGTATTCCAAAAGCAATAATTAATCAAGTCCTATTTAGCAGGCTAAATCCGCTACATTGGAATTAGAGCAAGTTATAATTTTGTTATTTTTATAATGGTACAAAACATTGAGACCTGAGCTGTTGTATAATCATATAGAATTAAACATATTTAGAAAATTCCAATAGAATTATATTTTATATTTTATGTGTTCCTATACTTCCAGCAGTGCATGTGTGTTGACAGCTTGAGACGTATGTATACTATGTAAACGTACACATCAACGTCTGATTTGCAAAGATTCATGTATGAAGATGTTTATTTAATGATTACTTATGTTAAAATAACAATCCCAAAGATCCAGTAATGTTCACATTTTTATTCAGCTGCTTAGGTCTGCTTATAGAAAGCATCATGTGCTATGGGAGGGAATATCATCGAACAAGTAAAAGTGTGTTCACCAACCCAACTGCCCTTGCCCCAGTGAACACATAGATTAACTGCTGTACATCTCCGCTGTGGGATACTGCTCAGCAACAAAGAGAAACAAGCTGCTGATGTGTGCAATGATGTGGACGAAACTCAAAGGATCATGCTAAGGGAAAGAAGCCAGACCCACAGGCTACATGCTGAATGAGTCTATTTGTATATATTCCAGAATGGGCAAAGCTCTAGGAAGGGAGAGTGGATAGGTGTTGCCAGGGGTAGGGGCAGTGGCTCAGGGCTGGGGAGGGACTGACTAAAGGGGGCAGCGCGAAGCGCGAAGTGAACACCCAGCTGTTGTGTCTCGACTGCAGTGGTTTGTTACATGAATCTTTGTATTTCTCGAAACTTTTGGAGCTGCACATCAAAAAAGAGTCCATCTCACTGTATGTAATTTTTTTTTTTTTTCGAGAGAACTTTTTAATATTTATTTTTTAGTTCTCGGCGGACACAACATCTTTGTTTCTATGTGGTGCTGAGGATCGAACCTGGGCCACACGCATGCCCCGCGAGCGCTCTCCCGCTTGAGCCACATCCCCAGCCTTCACTGTATGTAAATTAAGAATGTCTCCAAAGGACATTTAATCACATAGGGAAATGTGAACAGTGAGGGCAAGAGTAGGATGTGAGACTTTATCATATGACCCACTTATCTAAAATATAATACAACTTTAACAGATTATGTCATGAGCATGTCTATATGAGCTACACATACTGTGAATGAATGGAAGGAAAGGAAAGAAATCAAAAGGCCGAGGAGAGAGAAGACGTCTCTCTGATAGTGGTCTTATAAGTGACTCTATTTTTACTTTTGGCTTTTTGCATTTTCCAATTTTTTTCCAATAAAAATTCATTACCTGTATAGTCAGAAAGAGAAACACACACACATACCCCAGGTATGTGTAGAAATTTGACCCAACGCATTTTCAGAGGAGACAACCAGCCCGATGCTTGCCACAGGTGTCTGCTCCCTGTTTGAAACAGATGGGTGTCACACATGTCCTCTCCCTGATTCTGATGCGCTGGGGGCAGCAGGGGACAGGGGCATTTGTTGCCCTCCTGGAGGGCCCTCTGGGCCCCTGTGGAGAATGGGAGAGCTGCCCAGGCAGCTGGCCATGGTAGTGCCTCTCCCAACCCCACCCTGCAGGGGGTCAGAGTGTGGACCTGCCCTCCCAACCCCACCCTCCTCCATTCCAGTTAGACTCTCCAGCAGGGCCACTCCTCCACTTTTGTAGATGCTTGAGCAAACATTCATCATAAAACTGGGATGCTGTATGGTTCGATGCTCATTGTACAGAGCACATATTTACAATTCAGCCTTGTGACTACATGGAGCTCGGTGATTGTCCTGGGCAGGCCTGGTCTCTCTCTCTGCAAACGATACAACAGCTTTCTAACTAGTGTCCTTGACCATCCATCCCCCTCCTGATTACGCCTCATCTCTTGCCAACACTGCTCCCTTCAGGGGCCAACGCACAGAACCAGCCCATCCCCTGTGCCCAAGGCAGGGGATAGCCTTCTTTAGCAGGAAAGGCCGTGGTGCTAGGCCATTGCCAACAGTGGTCTGAATATGGTTTGTCTTCCTGGACTCAAGCAGGCATTTAATCCTCAAAGTCTTAGATTAATATGTCAAGAGGGTGGAAACTCCATCTGATATTGTATTTAGAGGTGGGACCTTTGGGAAGTGATTAAAGTAGATTAGATCAGCTGGGTGGAGCCCCCATAATTGAATCCTGGTGGCTGTTTAAGGAGAGGAAGAGACAATGCAGACACAAGGATGATACCTACACAGTCCCATTATGACAGGATGTACACCAGCTGGGTCCTCGCTGGAGTCTGCCCCCTGTTGTTTGGAGCTTGGGCTTCAAAGACTGTGAGCCAAAATAGATCTCTCTCTCTCTTTTTTTTTTATTAAATAGCCTGCCTCAGTTGTTTTGTTACAGTAATACAAAAACAGACTACTGTACCACCAGTTGCCTCTACCCTCATCAATATCATAATGACTGCAGCTGCCATTATCTGGTTATGTGACATGCCTTCTACCTTTCATGCCCAGCATGCTCCCAGGCACTGAGTGGAACAGAGATTTTTTCCTTCTACACCAGGATACTCTGGAGCCAGTATGGTAGGACACAGCCTGGACATGGACAGGGCAGGAGATGGGAACCAGGTCAAGCTCAGGAGGTGAAGGAAACCCTGGGGAAGTGAGAATAGAGAGGAATCAAGACCTGGCCCATGTAGACTGTTCGTCTGGTGCAGCCCCCAGTGTGTTCTCTGAATTTGGTGTCACTTCTTAGAGGATCCATGCCACCTGGGCACCATCCAGCCAAGCTGCACAGCCATAACCCGGGTGTACCCTCCTCTCTCCTCCGTGACTGCTCTGCCACCCACTTAGCAGATGTAAAGCCCGACCTTAGGCATCACCTCCTTAGTGCAGCCTTCTGTCACTCCCCCTGGGGGGCCTTGGCTTTCTGCTCCCCTTGTCCTGGTCTGTCCCCAGGACTTGTCCCCCATGGTCCATCTCCATGGTCTCTCGTTGTTTGGGTCCTGGCCTGCACTCACCTGTGGCTTATTTGGGCACTGGTCCATCTTCGGAGCCCTGGCTTAGCCAGGCCTGGATGGAGTGGACCCTGCACACAGTTGGAACACGAGACTGGGCTGTGAGTGAATCGAGCTTTGGGAAGAAAACGGAGCAGGTCAGGAATGGTCCATGAAAAGATTAAAATAACGATGCCTTTGTCTGTGTTTACGCCGAATTTCAATAAAACTCTTGAAGAAAGTGGTGTCACTGTGTGTGCCAGGGAAGCAGAGGGACGGTGGTGCCGAGGAGCTCACAACGCTCCCCAGGCTGATCCCATGGAGGCCCAGCCAAGGGCTGTCTCAGGCAGCCTTGGGGACGCAGTGTCCTCTGCCTTCCCGTTGCCTGGGTTACATGGCGACTTACAGTCACCCGCAGCACACTGACCTGCGACTTAATTAGGCGCTGCAATTTGGAGTTACATGGAAAAGAAAATGCTCTTTCTTTCTTTCTCTCTCTCTCTCTTTTTAAATTGTTGAACTCAATCCTTTATTTAATTTATTTATTTAATGTGGTGCTGAGGATTAAACCCAGTGCCTCACAGGTGCTAGGCAAGCCCTCTGCCACTGAGCCACAGCCCCAGCCCTTTTCTTTTTTATTTTATTTTTATTTTTTTCTATAGCTTTATTGAGATAAAATTGAAGTACAATAAAATGCACATATTTGAAGCATGCAATTTGGTGGATTTTGACACATATGCAACCAATACAATGAATACAAAAAGCATTTCCATTCCTTTTAAAAATTTGAATCATGCAGACTGTGTTTCCTGGATGACTTGTTATTTAGTTATTCTAGCCCTTTTATGAGTTTGCGATTTCAGACATACCACTGCTCCTCCTCTGCTGTTGCCCCTTCCAGCTGGACTCCCTCAAGGCTGCAGTGGTCCCAAGTTAGGGTCCTGTCCATGCTCTTGCTCCAGATGATGAATGGCTCCTCATGTCACCAAGTGAAACCTATTTATGTATTATTTATTTGGCAGTGCTGGGGATCAAACCCAGGGCTTCGTGCATGGTTGGCAAGCTCTCTACCCCTGAGCCACAGCCCTCACTCCAAGTCATGTGTTTAAATCTAGTGTTCAAGACCTTTCCCTTTGCCCCCAAGCCACCTTCCCAGTCCTATGCCCAGGGGACCCCTCCATGCTCTCTAGGTGTCCTCTTTCAGTTTCCTGTTTTCAACATGAGCCTCATGTCCACCTCCTCCTTGCTCACCTCCTCCTTGAAGACTTGCTTTGTTCTAGTTTTCTAGATGTTTCTCTTGAGGACAGTGACCTGACCATTTGTTTTTGGATCTGTCATAGTGCTTTTCCCTGACCAGCCACAACCCCCATGAGCATTTGATGAATGAAGAAGTCATTACTGACTTTCATTTAAAATTAAATGACTTAGGTGCCCTTCAAAAAATGAATGGAAAAAGGGAATGTGATATTCATACACAAAGGAGTATTACTCAGTCACAAAGAATGACATTATGGCATTTGGTGGTAAATGGACAGAATTGGAGACTGTCATGCTAAGTGAAATAAGCCAGACCCAGAAAGTCAAGGTCAAATGTTTTCTCTGATACATAGAAACTAATCCAAAATAAGGAAGAAGAAAGAAAGAAGAGAAAACAAAAGGGGAGATTCCATCAAAATAGGAGAAAGATTAGTGGAGTAGAGGGAAAGGAACTGGGGGAGGGAGGAGGGGAGGGAAAGAGAAAGTACTGGGACTGAATAGAGCAAACTCTATTCCATGTTTTTATAGTATGTCAAAACGAATCCTATTGTTACGTATAACTACAAACAACCAATAAAAAAATATTAAGCAAGTCCATCGGGCTTGGGGAACCAAGGAAAAGGCCCTGGGGGGCAGCCTAACATTGCAGCTAAGGGCATGGATTCTGGGGCCTAACAGTCTGGCCCACGCCTCCCCCTAGCACCCGCAGGCTGTGTGGCCCGGGGCAAATCACTGACGTGTCTCAGCTGCTTCGCCTGCTCTGTAAGGAGGGCTACAACTGTTCACAGTGAGAAGACTTACTGTGCATGAAGAGCTGGGACCAGCGCCCCTGTCAGCACTGTGTGCGTGTCCCCACCGCTGGGTTGTCTGAGGCTGTCTAGACCCCACCTGCCAAGGCAGCACTGTCCT